CTCTTTTTTTTTTTTTTTTTTTTCTTTCCTACACTTAGCATTATTGTGGAATGTACGTGCCCAAATTATGCTTTCCCCACATTTTTTTTTATGCCACAGCCCAGTCAGTTCTAATCAGTGCTTTCAGAACATCCTTTCTCAATGATTTTATGAATGATATCTCGAAATCTATACTTGAATTTTGAAATTTAATTTTGGTCCTGTTGTTTTGCAGTTGGATATTGTGCAACGACAATACATTCATCAGGCAGGTTTAAACCAAGCTGACTTGGTAAAAGTTGCGTTTAGTGCACAAGGCAAGTGGTTAGCCACAGTAGAAGAGAGAGAAGAAGTAACTGACCCTGAGTTACAGTTGAAGCTGTGGTTCTATGATGAAGAAACACAAAGGTAATGATAATAGAGCTGGCCTTCTAGGTATCAAAATCTAAAGTATCACACAAATATCTACACAGGCTTTGTCTTGCAAAGGCAGAGTTTTTCCAGATCAACTCATAAAATTCTAGGGAAGACCCTAGGGAGCATTTATCATGCAAACTACACGCATCTGAAACAATGCACAGAGTTGAAGTAAATACAGATTGGAAATAATTGCTCTGAATCTAATTTAATTGTATTAATCAGACAGGCTATTTTAACCATGGGACTTAAATTCACATATTTACTTGGTATTAAAAATCATGGACTTGGCTGAATGGTTCTATAGCTTGTTCAGTTTTCCCACCTCTGTCTAATCCATCATTAATTGATTAGTCCTTCTAGGGTACAGAAGATTATGACTTTATTGTTGATTTTTTTCTTTAGCTAACATACGCATCTGGTTCATACACTTTCCCTGATTTTCTTATTTAAAAAAAAAAAAAATTTGACTATGAATTGTTATTTTCTTAAAGAAGAAACAAAGCAAAATAAAGCTGATCTGTGTAGTAGCTATGTGACTGGTTGTCTAAATACTGGAAAGACTGCCCAGAGTTCAGGCTGAATATTTGAGAGTGATGCTTGCTTAGTGATAATCCTTTCTCAGTGCTGGGCTACGATCTCTCTTGCTGTATGGAAGTGATAAGGGAAATCCGATCTGTAAGTGCAGTACCATTTAGCTGTGTAATTAGACAGAAGTTTCTTTGATTCCTCTTCTCCCTGCCCCTTCCAGAATCATCTTAGACTGAAATCTTCCACAAGTTCAAAATGTAATAAAATGGCAAGCTTCTGTTTTCTTTTCCTATAGCTTTAAGCTGAATACTAGAATAAATATGCCCCATGAGGACCACATAACAGACATGTGCTTTCGTAACATGGATGAATTGGAAGATGACTCTCTGATATTGGTAACAGCTGGCAAAGATTGTGTGTTTAAAGTCTGGGTGATGGTAGAAGACACTGATCCGGAAGGTGAGTATGGTCAAAATGTAACTTACTCTTACTTGCTACCTTGTAACATGCTAGAGAAATTCAGACCCTAACTTCATCCTTTCAGAACTAGGCCCTCGAGTCCCATGCATTTATTTCTGCTGTTGCATGGAGTATTGTGTTCTCCTGAGCATCCTCTGTGATGGAGTTCTCTCATAGTTCTGCAGTATTATGGATTGATATGGAGGTTCCTGAACAAGCAAAAGACCTTGCCGAGCCTGCTGTAGAAGGGAACGGCAGCCTGTGTTGATTTGTTTAAAGGATTGTTTGTGGTAATGATTTTTCCATGCTGGGAAAATGGATTTTTGTCATTCCTCTGGGTAGTCTTTTTATTTGAGACTTCTGCTCTAGGGAGCAGGATGCAGAAATGTGTTATTCTGTTTTAGTTGACTTAGTGTAAAATAATCGCACTTTGCCATTCTGCAGCTCCACCACTTCAGAGTTCATTTTTTGAACATCCTTCCTTCCCATTAGATATTTGAACGTCCTAGAATGGTTATTTAGGATCCAATTCCAAGATACTTAAGTAACAAAATTTCACCTCTCAAAATGCATGCTGATGTTCACTTGTTTCAAACAGAACATCTGACGGATATGTATTACCCTGTATGCCTCTGGATGGGAAATACAATAGATTTCCTCCTTCTTAATTTCCTTTTACTTACGTGTTATTACAGTGCCAGGCACACTTAAGTGAGCTGGAACTTTCCTGCCACTTCAGTGTCTTATCTTTTCATGTTCCCAAATAGATGTGGTAGTGGTCTTGCTGAACTGCTTGCAGTTTAGTAACATGTTTGTGTTTTCATGCACAGGTGAGAACATGTTCAAAAGTACCTTTCAGCTACTAAGGCTTCCAGTTGGCAAACTTACTTTGCCAAATTGACTTTCTCTTTCCAAGCTGTTTGCTTCTCAACAGTGGCTGCTCATGAGAAGCAAAACAAAAGCTTGTATTCATTTACTAGGATTTATGCATATATTTACTTAATGGCAGCTCCCTCAATTGTATCTGAAAGAGGTTTCTTGTCTTTTTTCTTTTTTGATTGTAAATGATTCTAAGCCTAGATTATATCTTAACTTAATGAGCAGCTACTTTGATCTTGAGTACAGTGTGGGCTGGGGATGAAACCTAATGGGGTCTGTTTCCTCCAGCAAGATAGCTTTGTATCTGCTGACTGGCCTCATCAGGGGGTTTTTGTGTGTATTTTTTTTGTTTGTTTGTTTTTTAAGTGACTATAGAGAGTTGTGTTTCATGGCATGTGTAAAAGTACAAATTAGTGCTGACTTCTGTGGTGTATTTGCCCAGGGGCAGCAGGGTAGGAATGCTCAGGTAGAAAGACTCATGCTGCTGCAGGCTTCTGTGCAGCAAATATTAATAAACTAATTAATTCATATGTAGAATACGCTCCGGCATGTTTTTATTTGCAGCAGATCTCTTGCTGTGCCTCTAGATGGTGCCATGCAGTTTAAAGTAGTGAATTGTTTCTGGCTTTTTTTACAGGCAGTTCTTTTAATCATCAACTTGTAGCCATTATATAAAGTTCACCCTTAGCATAGGGTGAACTTATTTTCCTTTCTTTCCTCATCCTACTGGTATGTTTAGCGTGGCCAGCAGGTCGAGGGAGGTGATTCTGCCCCTCTACTCTGCTCTGGTGAGACCCCACCTGGAGTACTGTGTCCAGCTCTGGAGCCCTCAGCATAAGAAAGACATGGATCTGTTGGAGCAGGTCCAGAGGAGGGTCACAAAAATGATCAGGGGGATGGAACACCTCTCCTGTGAAGAAAGGCTGAGAGAGTTGGGGTTGTTCAGCCTAGAGAAGAGGCGGCTTTGGGGAGACCATCTTGCAGCCTATCAGTACTTAAAGGGGGCTTCTCAAAAAGATGGCGGCAAACTTTTGAGCAGGGCCTGTTGCGACAGGACAAGGGGGAATGGCTTTCAACTAAAGGGGGGGTAGATTGAGACTAGATAGAAGGAAGACATTTTTTACGCTGAGGGTGGTGAAACACTGGCACAGGTTGCCCAGAGAGGTGGTGGATGCCCCATCCCTGGAAGCATTCAAGGTCGGGTTGGACGGGGCTCTGAGCAACCTGATCTAGTTGAAGATGTCCCTGCCCACAGCAGGGGGGTTGGACTAGATGACCTTTAGAGGTCCCTTCCAACCCAAACTATTCTATGATTATATGTTTCAAAAGCATACTGTATGAATTTGTTTATACTGGGAAATGTGTGTTATGTGGTAAGTATGTCATTTTGCTTCTGTTTATTTTATGGTAATTATCAACAGTGGGAAAGGTGTCCCAACTGAATGCACTGGCAGGTTAACCAAGACAAGGAGGCATGTCGATGGATCACTTTGTGATCCTGAAACTTTATGTAAATGAAGCATGAGCTTTGTTGGACTCAAATGCAACCTGTGTTCAAATTTTTAGTAATGCTCATGTTCTTGCTACAGTTTTAAAAGAACAGTATGTTTCAGAACACTAAATGTTGAATCTACTTCAGTATCTTTTTTATCTAACATCTGCCTGTTTGAGAGCACAGTTAACGTAGTTGGCAAAGTAAACATGAATATTGTACCATGTCAGTCTCAGGATTCACTGTTCAATGCGAAACTGAGGACAAATGGAAAACCTACTAGATGTTTCTTGTACTAGAACAGGACAGATTCTCTGTACCCCTTAAAAATGTAAGCCTTCTGAAACAAAACTCTCTTGCTCTTGATCCTATTTTGCAGCCCAAATACTTGAATTCTTCTTTCTTGATGTATAGACTTGCATTAACTAGCTTGTTTATTCAATGCAGCACAGCAAAGCGTGAGCTGGAGCTGTGACTTTGTAGGCAGCTACCACAACTACCAAGCTACTAACTGCTGTTTCTCAGAAGATGGCTCTTTGCTTGCTGTTAGCTTTGAAGAAACTGTCACTGTATGGGATTCAGTTACTTGGGATCTTAAGTGTACATTTTGCCACCCACCTGGAAAAATAAGGTATGTTTTTCATCTGGCTTTTTATGTCTTGCTTGAACTCTTGGAACAGAAACAATCAATTCATAGTAGTCCAAGACCTTGTATATGTTCATATAAACATTGAATTTAAGTCTTAAGTTCACATATAGAAAAGACTCTAAAATGGCTTTTAGGTGGCTGGTAACTTACTGTTAAAAATAATAAGATCAAGCTTTGCAGTTTCATCTTCTTCCTCCTGTACCTCCCATACTCAAATATGTATCGTTGGGCACGCAGTAGTGTGTTAATAGCCCTTCTCTTTTTCCCCATTAATCTAGGGATGAATCAAAGTACTGAAAAAGTATAAATATAAGAAGTTTGTGCTTTATTCATGTACACAAGCATACAAATAGAAATTATATCAATAAACCTTAAAGCCATATTGACCTTATTATCTGCGTTATAAAATGTATATCTCGATCCTTGCTAACCTCTGTTGGAAAATCCGTATTTGCCTGACGACTATCCCAGCATGCTTCGTTGTGTGCTCTCATGATAAAAGACATCCTGAAGGTCTAGATACTGTTCTGTTGTGTACAGATAATGAGGAATGGCATAGGTTGATGGTAGAGATAAAAGATAGAGACTCAAAGAATAGGACAGCCTTAATATTGAGCTTCCTGGACTGTGCAAATATACAGCAGTTTCTGATCCAGGTAAAGTATCATTTTTCTCATGATAATCTTGCAAAAATAGGGCAATAGGTGACCTCACTGGTTCATCTACTTAATCTCTGTGCCAGATCTCTGTATCTAAACAATTTCTGGAACAGGAAGATGCTACAAACCTACTGTAGCATTCTCTTTCAGTGCTAAGGTTTTTCTAACTGCTGCTCCAACTTGCTTCTCAAAGTCATTACCGCAGTAATGTTGGAGGTGCTTCATACACTCGCTTCCAGGAAACACCTAAAATAGAAAGCGAAACATGTGTGGTCAGAATGTTTTAGAGACTCTGACATAAAGAATCATAGAAAGATACAGAGATTTCTCGCTTCCATGCTTTTGTGTGTATGTTTGTAAGCTTTTCTTTTGTGTGATCAAGTCCATTTTATTTATACTGGTCCTCTAAGATTAGAAATTGAGAGACATGATTCTAAAACTGGTCTGCAGGAAAATCGTGGGAGGCATGTCAGCCACATCTTTACTGTATCTATGGAGAAGACTTCTCTTGACAGCTTGGCACAGTGGCAAGCTTTTCCCAGGCAGCTGCTCCTTTTGTAGCCCTTACTATATGCTATATCAAAAGGAAATAAATTACTCTAGGACTATATTAAATGTCTGTATTAATTGCATAACTTCAAAGGGCTGTGTTTTAATACAGAAATTCCGTCCCTTATTAGCTTTTTTGAAAATGTTCTACAGCATTAGAAATCAAAAGGCTGTTCTATTATTCGCAAACAAGAGAATGAGAAATTAAAGTAAGTGAAGACAAATAACACACTTCCTTCGATTGGAGCAGCCTATAAGCATAATATTTATTTTTTTTTTTTTTTTTACTATTTTTCTCTTTCTAGTGCTTAGAGCAATAGTAGGAATTCTTTAAATACGGAATTTATTTTCCGGTCCCAATGTGAACAGTTACTAGTACTTACTCTTAATTAAGAGCTTAAAATCACTCCTTGAAATTAGAATGTTATAAACTTCCTTCGATTGGAGCAGCCTATAAGCATAATATTTATTTTTTTTTTTTTTTTTACTATTTTTCTCTTTCTAGTGCTTAGAGCAATAGTAGGAATTCTTTAAATACGGAATTTATTTTCCGGTCCCAATGTGAACAGTTACTAGTACTTACTCTTAATTAAGAGCTTAAAATCACTCCTTGAAATTAGAATGTTATAAGAACATGTAATCCATATAGATTCATGGATTCATTTCATACTTTTAAATCTCCCAGACCTATCTGGTTGTTGTGTGTGAAGTTTCATGCCACTAGAGGTGAAAGCAAAAAGCAAACTTCTCCTTTAAATATCAGAACTAAATCTTAACTGAATGTTTTTGTGACTTGTGAATCATTACTACATAGAGAAACAAAGATGAAATCTGAAGGTCATTAACTTCTTTTGACTTTTTACTTCTGTAGGAACATCTGCTTTGGGAGACTAACATGTTCCAAGTACCTTATTGGTGCCACTGATTATGGCTTTCTGTGTTGCTGGAACCTGCTCAGTTGTGCATGTAAGATCAGCTTAAATGTATGCTAGAGTGGTAACATTTAACATTTGAGTTTACTGTGAAACCTTAAAATAATTCTAGTTTGATTCCAGATTGATCCACTACAAAATGTCCTGTGGAAATGTAATTATTTTCATACTTCAGTCAAGATAGTATCCTGTCCAGTGTGCATGTGCTTTAAGTTAGATCATTGATAACCCAATAACAGCTAGTATTTCCTGCATTTGTAGAAGTTGTCGATAATATTTGTGTATTTTTATTCATCTGAATAAGTGAAGTTGCATACCTCTTCCAGAGGTTAAGGCCCTGTGTGTCATTCCCATTTGACCTTTTGTTTGGCAAAGTAGTGGGATAGAACTGAATGCCTTCTTTTCATGTCTGGCTGTTGCTGTGTTTGCTTTTCAGTGGAATGGAGTGCTCACCTCAATGTCTTAGTTCTGCAGCCTGATCCCCTTTCAGAACATATTGCTGCTGTCTCGTGGCTCTCAAAAGAGTCCAGCTGTAAGTACAAAGGCTTCTTTGACAAGTAATAGTCAGTGGAATTTAAAACTGTGGAAGCATAGTTTCTAGAAAAGGTTTTCCTAGAATTCAGCCCCATGAAAGCCATAAGACAGACTCGAGTCTGCGTTTGCACCTGTGGAAAGCTGAGCAATGTCTGACAGCAGCAGTCAAGTAAAGCATGCTGGTTCCCCATCCCCAGCAAACTAACCGTTGGAGGTACGGGATATAGCACAGGACTAACCATGTTCTCTGGGTGAGGGTCTTGAATGTTCTTGACCCTCCCCTGTAAATGCAAAACTGTGGTTGAACTGTACAGCTATGTTTTAGAGCTTTGACTATAAATTATGATTACTCTTCCTAGAGCTACTGTTCTACAGAAAAGTTAATTTCCAAGTGTGTTCTCTGGATTGGAATACTGTGAAAGGTACCTTCTATTATGCAACAAGGTTATCCAATTATAATTCCTGCAAGCTAGCGCTTAAATGCAATCCTGTCCAGCCCTTACTGGCTGTGATACACAGGGCTTTGACAGCTATCCAGGAAGGTAAGAATTTCATGATTTAAAGAGAGGACATTCTTGGTTTTGCAGTGTTTGTGTTTAAACCAAATGAGCCACGGCCAATCTACATCCAGAGAAACCTTTGTAAAGAAAAGATCCAGCTTGCTGCCTTCGTTCCAAGAGATGAACCTGAAACGATTGGCTCAGAAAAATACCTTTGGCTAAGAAGATCCCAACTGTTTTTTCTTACGGATACGCAAGTACGAAATAGTGATTGGCAGGTGGTTCCTGGGGAAAAAGTATTTTCCTGAATGTGGATTGATATAAATTCAGAGTTCCGCTGTTGAATGTAAGAGTTTCTTTTTGTGATTTCAAGGCAGCGTAAGCCATGCTTTGTTCTTTATTAAAAGCTTTCAACTGCCAAAACAGCTTAAGTTCAAAACTGATTATCTACTGGTTTTCTACTGCCGATAGTTTCTGCTGCCTCATTCATACAAGAAACTAGATAATTTGGGAATATTGCCAATGCTGTTTAACTTAAACTTAACTTAAACTTACCTGGAAACTGTATTATTGATTATCCAAATGTTTCATATGATACTTGGTTTTCCCTGTAATATGTGGGTGGGTGTTTGTTTTGTTTGTTTTCCCAAAAAGTCTATATAGACCCTCTAGGTCCATTCCTGCTTCCTTTCAGTTTCTTTATAAATTAAAGAGGAAGAGATGTGTTTGCCTCTTCCACTTGACTGACAAAAGCTTTTGGGCCAGTTGGAAGCTTCTGTAGGCAAGGTACGGAAATATGGAAAGCAAGTTTCACGTACTATAACTCTTCTACATCATTCTGTATTTTAGGAGCTAATGACGCTTAGCACAAAGTCTCTAGAAGAAAGGCTTACTCCATCAAGCAAACAGGTACCTCTTATAGAAGTTCTGACAGAGATGCACAGAGCAGTTCAAAATTCTGTTGGTGTTCAGTTTGTCGGATTCAAATTCCCTTCTGTCATGAAAATGCATCCCAGATCCTTAGATGGAGTCATAGGCACTCAGCTGAAGGGGCAGTAATCTGTATTTGCTTATTTTTTGACAGAATTGCTGTTTGTAAAAACCTTTTTTAAAAAAAAAAAAAAAAGTACTAGTAAGCTACTCCCTCTTCTCATTTCCCCCGAACAAAAAAATGATACTTTTCTGAAAGGATTTGGCTTACACAAATGAAGCAAAACCAGTTGATGTTTGAATAAGCTTTTTCCTTATCTTGGTTTCTTTAACACTTGGAACCTTGAGTGTGGCCTGAACTGCACTTTCTGGTGAGGATGAACAGTTGTCAATCAATTGTGGCTTATCAGTGAGAATGAATTTCAAAATTACATTCCAGTATGTACTTCTGTGGAGAAGTAGTCTGGGAAATTCAATCTCTTGAATTCATGTTGAAGAAGCTTTTCATACCCACTGAACAGAATAAAACAGTAGCACTTGATTGATTTGTTTGGTTAGATAAAATAGATCAAAGTAGAAGTTAATATCTTTCCAATACAAAATCCAATGGGAATGTGGTTATAAGCAATCAGTTTCTTTGGAGGGTGGGGGAATAATTTGGTACTCAGATTAAGGTATGTTGATCTAGGAAAGTGCCAGAAGGGAAGTTGCCATGTTTTGCTTCCAGTTACATAATTAAATCACTCAGCAGATAATGCTGGGGTATAAATGATCTTTTAGTCATAAGTGGAATCTGAAAGCCATCCTTAGTTTTTCTGGCACACGCACCAACTTCCGTATTTGGAAGTTAATTGGTACATCAACCAACTAAAATCTGGTGTCCTTGAATCCAAATCCAGATCCTGGAGAGTTTTATTACCTCTGTGTAGGACTCTCTCAGGATGCCTGACAGAGAATGAGTACAAAGAGCCATGTGGCTCAGTTGAGTTAAATTTGAGTGTAGAGTTTTGTCACCTAGGTTGATTCTGAATTTTGGTAACTCAAAATGAGATGGGACTTAGATTTGTGACATTAAAATTCTACTTAAACTTTTGGTTTTTTTCAAGCTGGCAGTAGAAGAAAGTCTTGCTGTGACCCCATTTAGCTTGCTATTGGGAAAGCACAGACGTCAGCAATCACAAGAGGATATAGACCTTGGAAAACTAGTTGTTCGTAATAAGCATGAGCAAGATTCACCTGCTGTCAAAGAGGTAGGAGTGATTACAGTAAGTGTACAAACAAAATCATGACAAACAAAAGTTTTCATCAAGCTTCTGTTTTATATTTTCAGCTTTTGCACACTCCAGCACATGTTTTGCCATCTGCTTCCTTCCTCTGTCCTATATTTATTAATTCATTGCTCATCTCCAAAGAGAACAAAAGGTAAGAAAAATTGAAGAACTCTCCTTAGTTATTGAAGTTATTTTAAATTATGTATATCCTTGTTTAAAGTGTAAAGGCAGTTTTCCAACACTTTTCAGTCTTCTATTGATGTAAGTTAGTAGAACACTATTGTGGCAAGATTTTTTGAAACAGCTCAGTTTTTGGGAGATACATGGACTGGCTGTTTAGTCTATTGGCTCTTTTGTTGCTGTTATTTTTGCTGTTGTTTGGCATAATGTGCTCCTACACGAAATGTTGCCTTTGGTACTCAAATGTTCTTTATGAATTTAGCTTTATTCCAGGGATTTAATGTTTTTAGTGGTATTTTTGGGTGAATGTCAGATTCTCAACTTTATTTGATACTATGATGACTTCCTGCATAATTCTTGGTTTAGGTTTCTAGATACACCAAGAAGTTAGTCCTTAGGTTTAATCTTAACAGTTTGTTTAGAACTCAAATTTCATTCCTGATTAAGCTACAAAATATGAGTGTGTACTGTGAACGGCTAGCTAAGCTTGTCTTACAACGCATTAATCTCAATTTAATGGAGTAGTTTGATGGGTACTTAAAGTGTATTGTAGCTTGCTCCTCTGAGATAGACGTATGCTTCTAGAAAATGAATGCAAGCACAGGGGTTATGACTGTAGTCTTGTATTAGGATTAATATCTTGTCACTTACACTGAAGCCAATTAAATGCTTGCATTTTTTGTGCAATCTATTTTTAAAGTGTTATATGAAACTCTACCAAGCCAGAGATGAAAATGTGTCATTGGTATCAGCTGCCATTCTGAATTTGCTAAGGCCAGTGAGAGGATGGTTTACCTCTCAGGTAAATGCCAGGGTTTACCCAGAAAAAAACACCAGTTTGAGTAGTTCTTGCATGTGCATTGTATTCTGCCATCACAGCAGTTCTGCTACATTTTGTTGGCCAATATTGCTAGCTTTCTCACTGGATGACACAAATAAAAGTCTTTTTGCCACATCAGCAAGACACTGGCAAAAATCTAATACAAGGAATATATAGAAGCTTGCATGTAGTTTCAGTGCTGAAGAATTTGGGAGTTCAGTGGCCTGTGTAAATATTTGCACGTGTAGAGCTTGTACTTTGACACTCGTAATTAGTATGACTGCACACTTAAAGTTACATACAAGGGCTGGAGGATTGGGCTCTTGAAGAATGACAAGAGTATATCATCGTATAGATTACTTTTTTTTATTTTCCTTGGCAGTATAATATTAATGTATTATATTTGTTTCACCATTTACATTTTGTGAGTGATAAATAGTTTGTATTCAGACAGATGATTTTTTTAGGGGACCAGTACTGTTCTGCCATGCAGGTCATTCCTAATGAGATCCAAAATATTTATACAACAGACATTTGAATTAATACTATTAATTACCACATTGTAAGTGGTAACTGTTCTATATAATTATTTGGAAGTATGCTTTCTACTTCAGCACAAGCTTAACTCTTGAAGTCAGAAGGGAGCAGCCACTTTAAGTACCTCCCTGTGTTAAAAAAACCAAACTAACTTTTTTCTTTTCTAGTAACACTCTAGGTATTGTCACAATTTTTAAGACTAAGTGACCTTTTTCAGATTTGAAAGAGAAGAATGGCCTTCTTGAATATTGTCTCACCGACCAGTGTATCTGATGTTTCTAATCCTGTAGGAGTGTGAGATTATAACTTTTTACATAATGCTGATCTGCCTGTTCTGACATTATGTATTATATTTTGCTTAAGTTTACTTAAAACAGAGGACAGCTATTTGAAAAATGGCTAGTAACTGAGGTGGCAAGAGAAGTATAGTAATTTGTAAGTAGCCTGAGATTTAAAAAATAAATAAAATCTGATGTTTACTTAGTTACTTGCATGATAACTTACCTCTCTCCTATAGTATGTGATACTATAGTATGTGAAAGTACCCATTAATTTCATTAATTGGGTTGTTTCCAATCATCTTCCTCTTACAGTGCTGAAGAAGTTGCTGATGAAGTAGAAATGGAAAGTGAAAAAACAGAGGATGATTCAGATGAGGAAAGAGATGTTACTGAAACGGAACAAGAAGATACAAGTCCTATGGAATTATTAGGAGAGATGACATGTAAACTGTCTAAATCCCAGGAGAAAGAGCTACGAAAAATAAGAAAAATGGACTACAGTTGGATATCAGCTTTCTAAACAGACATCTTGTGTTTTTTATACTGTAAGCTGAAGCTTTGTGGATTAAATATTCTTCAGAAAAATCTTTCAAGTCCTTTGGCCCTAAATTTTAGCAGCCTCTATTTCCATAAGAAAGGAGAACTGGGGGGAGGGATTAAAGTTTTGAAAAGCTGGTTCTGTTCCTGGTTTATTACTGATTCTCTGTGACCTTAGAAAATGTTTAACCTGTGGGCTTCCCCCCCCCCCCCCTTGCAAATGTATCTAAAAGGCTAATAGCAAAATTGAGTTCACTATCTGACTTGTGATCAGTTAGCAAAGTGACAGCTAAGCTGCTGAAAGTCTCCCCCACTGAGGCTGGGCTACTGATGCCAAAGCAACAGCAGCAAACAGCTTCAGTGAATAAGACTGCTTAATTCAAGATCTGGTAGGGGAAATCAGGATAGTTCTTAGTAGTGCTGTATGCAGCAAGTCTCCTCCTCAGAAGTTCCTCTCTAGCTGTTGAGACAGATGACAAATGGTTCAGTACATCTGATTCTAGAGTATGGATACCTACATGTTTGCTTGGTCTTCATAGAGTACAGAGATTCTTAGGCATAGGGTACTTACATGTATTGGAGCATAACGAAACCTTTCCTGACAGCCACCTTAGTAGGTCTCTCACACATCAGCTATAGTTTCTGTATATCACTTTAACTATACACTCTGATACCGTATAGTTGAAGTAGTGAATTTGAAGGCCTAAAAGTGAATACAGTCTCCTCTGGGGTTGCAGCATGAAGGCAAGCTGATGGAAATTGCACAGGTCACTAAAAGCTCTGAGGAAACAATATTTTGCTAAAAACACTGATTAAAAATGTTGGAAACAGGAATGATACTTCAACTCTTTGTCAGTGAAAACCATGCTCTCCCTAATTTGCTACTGCCTTGAAAACGAAGTGGAGGACCCTTTCCTTCCTCTCCTTTTCTAACACTGTATATTGGAAAGCAATTAGTGGCAACACTTGGGGATTGGGGTTTTTTTGTTTGTTTGGGTTTTTTGCTTGGTTTTGAGGGGGGTTTTTTGTTTGTGTTTTTTTTTTTTTTTACTTTGGGGGTGGGGGGCAGTATCCTACAACGGGCAAAATCTATCACTTCCATCCATGCATAGAAAACATTGACATTCATCCTTGGGCATCAAGGAAAGCAACTCAGAATGATTTTGCTGGAAGGTTTACTTCTCACATTTTAACATGAATGCAAATGTTTATTTGTAGTAAGCAGTGCTGACCCTTGACATACAGGCAAGTCAACCGTCATTCACCTCTGTATTAAGCAGTTCACAGACTGAAAGCCGGAGATGGATGTTGTAGCACCACCTAGAATGTGACACAGCAATGACTTCACCTGTAAATTTAGCAGTGAGGTACTTTGTATGTTGGGGCTGCCATGGTGAGGGTGTGGGGTGAGTACTCTGCTCTGAACTCAGTTTCATTAAGAAGACAAACTTTAAAAGCCACTTTTTAACGTGCTCATAACCAAGTATTGCTATAATGCATTTCTTGTCCTGTGCAGCCCCTCAGAGAGGATGGGAGGGTAGAGCTACACCTGCAGCCACCCACCCCGCTCACAAGCAGACTGACCCTAGCTGAAGTCAGTCAGACCCCCCGTCCACATAGGTCTTAATCCCTGAGAAATGGAAAAGCTGCCTTTTAGCCAGGCAGGCTCCTTCCCCCAAAAGGACACAGGTTCTGTAAGGGTCAAAAGAAAGCTGGTGCCTCGTAGTCCACCCAGTTCCTGCACTGTCGGGTCAGGAACAATGATGTAATCCCTCGCTGTCGACTATGGTATACAGATATGGCTGTTCCCTGAACCTTGGCAAGCCTTGCTCGCCGATTTTGATCTACCGCTCTTGTCCCTGTGACAGACGAGGACAGTGCTATTAGCAAGACCATGTGATCTTTGTTTATAATTGTCACAGGCAAGAAGCTTGCAGAAATAAAAAACCTTATATGCATATCTACATGCAGTAAATGAAGTAATACCTACCAAACAAAAATACACACTTGAATAGGGACAGGGTGTGCATTTCAAAGCAGATGGAGACAAAGGCCACGTACTCTAGAATACAGCAATTGTTTGCAAACAGCCACTGCACTGAAAAGAACTATTAAGTCTACCAACAGGCCTGAAGTGCTGGCTGAATCAAAGTAAAAAAATAGTTTAAAACTCATTATTACAGAAAAGTGGAAAAACTAGTGCACTTTTTTGTTCTGTAAATTTACAATCATATAGATGTCAAAACATGAACATGGGGAATATAAACACACTTCAACTGCCATAGCTTTGCCTAAAGAGCCTTACTTAGAATTTGTTTCATGCAGCTTAGGCTGAACTGTCTAATGATAGTGCATTACATGCTTTTTATATTTCCTTCTTTTCAGACAAATGTGAAAAATACATAATTTATTGTTACAGTTTCAGACTAAACTGGCTAGGGTTAACTTGGTTACTTGGCAGCAAAGGGCTTCTGCAGCTCCTCATAAAATAAAGTTATATACCGTAGCTCTTCAGACAAATTATTTATTAGTTATGACTGTGAGGAACAACATTTTCTTCCATCATAGATTACTTAATATAGGACTAACCTTACTATGAATTTTAAGGAAAGTTTTTTATATTTCAGGCATTTTGGTTTGTTGTTTATAGGCCTTGGTATGACAGAAAAAGAATATCTTTTAAAACCTATAAAGGTTTTTCAAAATTTGTTTGCCTGAAAACTCAAGTATTTTTTGTTTCTCAAACTTACAGGGAGAGGAGGAGGAACAATTAACTAACACTGTCATAACTACGGCCAGTTTTCTGCTTTTGTATTTTTCTCCCTTTTTATAACAGCTGTTTAGATAACCTGGTATACGTAGCTGAAAAGAAAAATCACAGCTCCCCAAATATTATGCAATTTTTATTTCCATCCCTCTTATCTACAGATCTAGAACTGATAACAGCCTTTTCAGAACCTTGGACCCGATGGATTTTTCCCTAAATTAAAAGTTTCAACAGAACAAATAGGGAAAATGTGTTAAGACTGTAACTGACAAATGACAGGTTTTGAAAACTCAGAGGTTTTAAAAAATAGAAAGTACAGGAAAAAAAAAATATTAGTAAAGAGATTCCCCCCCGAATTCCCCCCCCCCCCCCCAAAACATGCACTATATGAGGAAAGACACACTGAAAGGTTTTTGTTTTTTTCTTAAATAACATCAGACCTCAGCTCTGTTGAAAAACAAGTGCAAGTTGAGTAGAGAGATGTATATGCAAGTTGTTTCAAAAATACCGGCCGCGTCAAATGTGTTATTGTGTCAGCAACGCTTAAGTGCGGCTTTAAAGAAGGAAATCTCAGTATTTGTTAGTGTGGGTTCACATGTTCTTGTGAAAGTAAAGTGCTCTACTGGAAAATTACCAGGTATGAACAACAGACAATTTAGATGCAATTCAGCATCTAAAGATGCAATTTAGTTTTGTGTTCAGGTAGTAGGGCAGTGTGTTAGAATCTTCATCAAGAAAAGATATAGTTGTTAGAGTTACGTTTTCTAACCTTTGTCTTTGCTGAATTTGTTTTGCTTTACAGACTAGATTGAATGTACTGGGATAACAGAGTCCTCACTTGGTAGTTTTGTGTGTATGTTTTTTCTACTTGAGCAGGAAATACACTTCTGGTTAGAATTTTGCTACATTTAGTAGGCACATTCTGACCAACCTTTTTGAAAATGTCTTCTGAAAGATATTGCAATTACAACAATGAAGAATTCAGAGGGAGGGCTGCAACTCATCCGTCTGTGCCTGCTTTGGAATGTTTTGTTTTTAAAACAGTTTTTTTTCTGCTGTTCCTCAATTACTTTTTTTTTTTTTTTAGACCTTGTGTATCTCAGTGGCCATGAAAGTTCTCCATATTTACTGCGATGCCCTAAGTCAAATCTTAATTTGATTTTTTGGCTTCTGCTTCTTCCTTCTAAAGGCTACCTTAGAAGGATTTTATTATTCTTTATCAGAAAGATTTGACACAAAAGACCATAGAGAAAGAGATTGAACTTAATCTTGTGATTCCAGTTTCACGATAAATACAACAGATAATAAAATGCCTCTGCAACATGTAGAGGTCAGTGTTCAATAACTAAGGGTGCCTCGTGCATCACCACAGGACAGCAATTTTCACAGAAGCCGTCATAGCTTTATTTAGGCTGAGGGCCAGACCACGCAAGGGGGGCAGGAGCCTAGAAGGGGAATTGCTTACTTCCCAAATTTTCCACTCAGGCAAGTGGTCAGATAACACAAGCGTCAGCAACTACGGAAAGCATTATAAAGAATAAATAGATAGGCAAGGCCTTATGAAGTACATCATGGCAGCGGGATTTGACTGAGATGGTGCTTCCCTATGACACTGCTCTAAATGCAGAGGAGGGGTGACCAGTAATTTTAACCCACTGGTTCCAGTCGAGCTTAGTTCCACAGAGACTGAAAATCACTGCTGTGCACTGGTATTTCGTGGCCCCAGACCAGTAACTAGCAAACAGCAGCTCCAAAACACGCCCTGGTCCTCAGTGGGCAGACTTGGCACGAGAGCTCGCTAAAGGCTGGTATTACTAAACAGTGGTGGCTGTATTTTTTCAGTTGTTCAAGAATAGGGAAAAAAGAAGAACTGCTGAAACACGCTGCACAATTTGCATCACCTGGATCTTTGTATTTCACATCATTTCTGCCTAACAATCATTTGGCTGTCTGACCTTGGGGGAGCCTCTTTCAGAGACCTCAATCTGCCAAATCCCAGTATGCAATGAGCCTTTTAAAGCACGCAGCAACAGCCAGAATTAGAATCAGCAGAGAATAGGACAGAGGAAGACAACAACTTGAAATATAACTCGGGGGACTTCCACAGACCTCCTAGTCTACCCTCCTGCCCCGAAGCAGAGTAACTGAGGTATACTTATTCCTCACAGATATTTGTCTAATTTTGTAAACCTCTGACAAAAGTCATGCTATGATCTATGTAATTTGTTCAATGCTTACCTATTCTGACAGTCACAGTTTTTCCTAATAAAAGTAATCTTTCTTTCCTGCAAAACTTCTATTCTTCCATGCTTGTTGTAAACTTCTTTGATAATCATCTTTAAGGGGGGGGGGAGGGGGGGGAAGCAAGCAT